ACCGTGCCCTGCCAGGATTAACAAAGATAACAAGAACATCATACCTCTCCCCACCCCCTGGTCTTTCCAAGGAACCCCTTCTCTGCCTTTACCTACCTCAAATGTGATTCCAAGAGGGACACTGCAAAAGTGGAGGCTAGATCATAAATAAAACCATATTGTCAAGGCAAGACACTGCCTTTGCCTGTAACGTTTGGGATGGACTTTCAGTGAGGACATCACTTGGGATAGGACTGGAGACAAAGAAAAGACAAACACCAGTCCCATCTTCCTTGTGGTGCTCAAGTTCCTCATGTCAATTATGGGAAAGAAAATGAAAATTTTCCAAATACCTAAATAAATATTTATGTGTAGTTACTGTTTAATTGTCAAAAGTGTCATTAGATGCAAATTCCAGCAGTTCAAACATTTTCTCATCTTGTTCATCATACGAAGTTTCCTCCTACAAAGGGGGGGGGGTAGACTTTGTGTGAGAAATTGCAGAATCACATTTAATTAAAAATGCAGTGAGTTCTACTAAGAATCTGTCTGAGGAGATTAGAGATGGTTTTCTGCCTCAGGGAAGATAGAACTGAGCTAAAATCCAACAATCACACAATGGCCAAAGGAGCTTTCCAGGCACAGGGAGGAGCCAGTGGCTGGAAAGCAACCGAAGGAAAGATAGGTCAAGGTGGCCAGAGCCTAGAGACAGGGCTGGTGAACGGTGTGAAGGGAAGCTCAGGAAAGAGATAGAAATAGTGAAATTCTCTTTTACTCATCAATTGTCACCACTATCACAACTCATTGGAAAAAAAATATCAGTATGCAATGAATGGTGGCTAACACACAAACTCACAACTGGCCAGAGGGCAGAGAATAAGTGTTCAAGGAGTGCTCAGACACAAATGACACACCTATATCTCCTTGTTCCCCCAAACCCATACACTTACACACTAAGGTGCACACACACCCCCACACACATACCCCACCACCACCACTAGCGATGCTCAGAGAACATAGCAGAAGAGGAGGCAGAAAGACTCTGAGATTAGAGAAGAATAATGTCTTCTGGATGTGACAGGACCACTGCATTCTTCAACTCACGGCAGCTTTGCTGGACTGCACAGGATCTGCAGAAGACCAAGCCAGTCAACACTCCATCACTGAGTGGGAAGGTGAGCCTCCACGCATATCCAAAAGGCTATGGACAGTAGAAGCCTTCTCAAGGAGGGAGAGCCAGTTTTCTTTACGGGCATGACTCCTGGTAGGTTGACTGTACTCCAGTGCTTGACCCCACAATTAGGATATGAGCAGCACATATTGGAGTTGATAGGCTATTTTAAATGGGGACATAAATTTGGCAGGTAGGGTTAGGTAGGTCTAGGAGGAGTTGGAGGAGTTGGGGTAAAGAAGATCAAAATACATTGTATGTAGTTCTTGAAGATTTAATAAAAATATTTTCTATAGAGGAGTAACAGGGCATACAATGAATGGGAAAATAGAAAAAATAGGGAAAATTTTTGTAGAGATGGAGGTAATAAATAACACCCAAATGTTTGTAAAAGCTATGGGGAAATATTATTTTACATTCACTTAAAATTCAAATGTACTACAGGTTATGTACATATTGTTTAAATGAAGTCATACCCCTTGTAGAAATGCTCTCCCCAAGAGCCATAAATTACCTAACAAACTTGGGAAACTCCCCTTTAAGTTATTGGTCAGGGTAGCCCAAGAGGCTCCCCAAACAATACAGCCTATTGCCATTGCCCTTGGTTTCCTCCCAGAACACGAAGGTAAAACTATGTTGCTGAAAACATGCACATTTCAAACACAGGAATCAAACTAGATATGATACAGAAGCCTCCTCTCTGAGGAATGGCTCTCACTGTATCATAGTCTTCTACCTGACATGTTCAGGTAAGGAGACAAGCAATCAATATTCCTACTCAACTGCAAAGCCTTGGTACCACATCAGTGACCAGCATGGAAAGATATTCCCAAGGGTCCAAGGGTGATACATCTTGGGAGTAAACCATAGCCATCTAATTGGACTTACACCCTACTCAGTAAGAGAGAATTCATGTCAGCTATTGTAAACCTACTCAGCTACCCATGGTTGGTAAAGCTTTGAACTTTGAAAGAGAACCTACTACTGCCACTTTCCTAAACCCTGTACATTTTCTGACCACATTCTCAATACCCACCTTTATATCCACAAATAAATGTAGCCTTCACCCACTAATCAGAAAAGGATGTTAATTTTATAGCAGATGGGGACTATTAAGTAATCAACAGCTGATTAAGATGTAGAGAAGTAAGAGGCCATGGGAAGCCAACCTCAGTCAATAATTTATCTGAAATGCGAGCTCTACACTTAAGGCTCAGGGAACATTGCCGAAGAGGGGATGAAGAAACTGTAAGAGTCAGAAAACCAGGCTATATCTGCTGCAAGACTGTGTTTTCTATATATGACATGGAATCTACTACACCCATGAAATTTCAGTAATATATTTCATTTAAGAAGACCTACATGTGATAACACAAATTTGGTTTGTCAACAAAGATGGGGAAATATCACAAGGCTCTATCTGCAGAAGAAGAGCTATAGACAGTCAGTGATGGCTGAGAGAATGAGAATCTCTCTTCTCCAGAGATGAGCCTCGGATGAGTAATCCAATGACAAAGTCATCAAGATTAAACACACACAACACACACACACACACAAGTAACACTGAATGGACACAGCGGGGGGTGTGGGCTAGGGGACATAGGAGCAGGACAGGAGAGGAATTGAAGTAGGGAGAGGGTGGGATAAAAATACTGTAAATATGTGTGCATGAAATTCTAAATCAATTAAGTTGAATTAGAAATTAACTTAATTCAATTTAGAAATTCTTTATATCATTCAGTATGGTTGTATCTCAAAGCAAGAAGTAGCTGTTGAAAAGTTCCAGGCAAGCGGAAATGCTCAGAGCAGCTGTTTTCAAAGCTGGCCATTTGTTTGATCTTGTAAGTGGAGACGGATACAGCAACATGAGAATAATTAGAGGATGTGCTGATGTGTTAAGAGACGTTGAGTCCCAATCACAGCCGTACTGTGGACAGTGATCCATGTCAGGTAGATTAGCTTTTGTCTCTAGACTTCAGTTCTGCAAGATCAATTCTTTGTCCTCTACTTTTTTGAGATAAAGAAAACTGGGACCCGGAAAGATTTATTAATCCACTGCCAATCTCAGAGGCAAAAACCTGACAGAGCAGAAATGTAAAGTTAAGTCTCTCAATTTTAAAACAGGTGGCTTTTAATGTCTAATTCTTAACTGCTTCACTACATCCTGAGCCCACTCGAGGTAATGTTCATGAAGGGGTATGAGCTGAAATCCAGAAATCCGAAGCGGACCCCTTCCTGATGGGAGACCTTTTAGCATTTGTCTTGGGGTTGGCCAGATTCTAGTCTCTATAGCGGAAAAAAAATTCTCCCATTTTTATTCCATACATTTTCTTCCCACTGCTATTGCTTAAATTTCACTGACTTCCAGCTTTCCTTTATCCCCAGCTTTGTCTTTTTCTGAGTGTCTATCCTGTCTAGTCTCAGGGATCAATGTAGCAATTATAATACACAGGCTACCATCTAGGATTTCCCTGTGTTTTCTACTTTCTCATATTTTATTTTATGAAATACTAAATTTCATATAGTATACACTGTTTTTAAAATGGCTTTTATATACTGATGCCCAATTACAAACAAGCTAAGACACACAAATTTCTAATTGTCACACATGGTAGGTCTTACTGTTGGCCAACAGTCCACATATGCTCCTCTCTCTCAACAAATGCAGTGGAGTCTCATTATACATACATACGTACACACACACACACACACACACACACACACACACACACACACACAGAACCTAGGCAATTCAACTCTATGTTCCTGTCAGGAAAACAAGGAGAGAGTGGTTTAAGCCCTGGAGGCTGTCACATGTGCTGTTCTCATCAGCGCCCTCATGAAACAGGAAGTGAATCTGCTGTTGTCACACAAGTTTCAGTTCTTAAGGACCTGGCTGCCTCAGATGAGTAATTCTCTAAGAAGCTATTATTTTACTGTTTAAAGGTGAATCTTTTCAATAATGTAGCATCCTCTAACTTTGACTGATTACTTTTCTAAGTCCTCAATTTAACAAATGCATCTCTCCCAAGCCAAGGGAAGGAGGTCTGGGACAGTTGGAGAGGAAATGAGATGCTTTCCACAGCAGTCTGAACTCATGAAAGGTGTATCTCACATCTCTGTGTGGCCTTAAGCCACATATGCTCTCAGAGTCATCTGCCTTCTAAAGTAGTTTTGTTTGTTTGTTTGTTTGTTATTCAGTTAAATTGATCAGAAGTGGAGACTGGCAAGAGCTGATAAGCATATATCTGCAACAAGTGAAGCAAAGGGGGAACCATTAGGCATGCTAAAGTATGAAAAACAATTTACACAGGAGAGAGAATGATAAACTGGAATTTTTAAAAAGCAATTATTGGAGGTTTAGTTGTCAATTTTAACTTTCTGGGGAAAAAATATCCACGATCATATGAACTTTGCTAGACCTTGTTACACAGGCATATTTTAGGAGACGATCATGTAGAAACACAGAGTGCTATCATTCTGAACTGGCCTGTAGTCTCCTGGGCAGATGCACTACTTCTTGCCACCTGGCTCCCTTAGCTTTTTGTTCCTGCCAGTAATACAAAATTGGAAATCAACTTGACTGAGGACAACTCTCTCCACAGAAGATTTTGCAAGCAATTGCTAGTCCATGCCAACCTTTGGGTCTTCAATATCTCTGAGTGTACCTGGCTGAGTAGGAGCCCTCCACAAGGACCGCCCTGGTAAAAGAATCACTGAATTTCCAACGTCTGTCTCTCTGGAACTAATTTTTTGTGATGACTCAGGAAAGCAAAGAAAGACACCAGGTGATACCTGCTAGGTCACTGGTGTTGAATTCAGTCCACTCCATACATTACTCTGCTCTTACCTATCCAGGGAAATGCAGCAGAGATGAAAAATCGATGCTGTGGTGAGTAGGACATCCAAAGAGGTCCGGACCAGGCAAAACATTTCCCCATAAATCCAGATGTGTTGGACCAGCTCCATGGCACCAAAAGGCATCACCAGCACCGAAACCAGCAGGTCGGCAAAGGCAAGAGACACAATGAAATAGTTGGTTTTTATTTTCCTGTGAGTGAAAAGGTATAGGCAAGGTGGTAGGGGAAGGGTGTGGGGAAGAAGGTGGGGAGATCCAGGGAAGAATCAGGGAGAGTGGAAGGAAGGAACAAAAGGAGGTAGAAAAGGAAAGAAGAAATCACACATTAAACAATCCATGAGCCTCAGTATTCTCTTCTGCACCACGGCCAAGCAGATTCTCTGTGCTCTGGCCTCGTGCCCCAAAGCCCTCTTACCCTCTCTCTTCTGACCTTCTAGACTGACCAGAGGCCATTGGTATGTCGAGAACCATTCTGACGTTCCACATAGTTGTGCTTTCTCCCGCCTACTCTTCTTGCCAGTGTCCACCCTGCCTTTGGTCCCGGCTTAGGCATTCCCAGGGAGCCCTCTCAAGATGCTGCTTTCAGACAGTGTTAAGCTGCATCATTCTCAGCTGTTACAGTGACCTCTTCTGTACCCACTATGTGTGGTACAGAACTCCAGGCAAAGTTCTGCATTGTTTCTTCTCTTCCTCTCTACTGGGTCAAGGCATGTCTTGCTTAGAGACAGGCTACCTCTGTCTCACCTCTTCTTTCATGGTCCACTGTTACTTACCCCAGGTCATGCACTAGAAATACCCTGTGAATTTTAGGGAACTTTAGTGCCCAGGGTTCAACTCAGATCAATTAGACAAAAAAAAAAAAGGTGGATATCATCCTCTTCTGCTGAATATTGCTACCTAAGATACAGGATGGCCAATTAAAATTTGATGTTTAACAATGGATACTTTTAAAATATAATTGTCTCCAGATTATTACACAGGGCACACCAGTACCATATAGTATTGTTTTGAAAAATATATTAGGTGATTATAATTGTAGCCACAGTTGAGGCTGGTAAGGTATAAAATGTGGTAGATCTAGTGTTTATTCCCTAAATCAATCATTAGTTATGGTTGATTTATTCCCTGAACCATTGACAGAGAGAGAGAGAGAGAGAGAGAGAGAGAGAGAGAGAGAGAGAGAGAGAGATTGATTTCAGATAGGATGGAAGTACCCCAAGGTGTTCTTATGGTTATGTTGGTGTTGGAGTTGTAGGATTATATGTAGTCCCTTTTCTGGTTTTTCAAAATCTGTCCTCATGAATGTTTTCCATCATCATGATAAATTGCAATAGAAATTACTCAGAGTCAACTTTATAGGGAGTTCCCTCTGACACCCATGTTTGCAGAGAGTTCCCCTCATGCTGCTCACCTGAGCTGTCTGTCCCTGCACACAGCCACCATCACCAGCAGGTTGCCCAGGATGGCCATCAGGATAACCACTGCAAGGAACGTGAGCAGCAGGACCTTCTCCACGGACCCGAAACCCTCGTTGGAACTGGAGGTTATGGAAACACAAAACACCCAGATGTGAGGGAGCATCAGACACATTGGAAAGGCCATTCATTCCCCAGTCTTCAAGAAGGTCACATCATCATCAACCAGCAATAGCAACATGTTTTATGCACCTGAACTTGCCAAGGTCTGCCATCACTTGACGGCATCCCCAGCTGGCTGGAGAAGCTGAGAGGGAGACTGGGCAGTTGAGTAGCTAGCCTTGACTGCATATATTTTTTTGTTTTCCTTCAGACTCATTTTGCCTAGTATTCAGGTATGTACTTGGTTGGTTTCTGGGTTGCACACCTGACTCATCTACAGTGCCAGCTCCATCACATCAGGACCTCAGCTGTTTGATTCATTGAGGTGTGTTCAACTCATGATTCTCACTTATCAGATGGAGGAGAGGTATGGTCGTCACTGCAACCAAGGTCTGCATGAACATAAGGGCTAAGCATTTTCGTATCCTATTCTAGCTTGAGCAAAAGCTGTGGTTTATAGGTGGGATGTCTAGGAAGGGACAGGCATACTCAACAGGTATTCTTATGACAGTTCACAAATGACCTCAATGTTCTGCGAAGCCCACAGGATAAAAGGCCCTGGGGCCTCTTCTACTTCATGACCTGTTGCTTCACTGATTCCTAATGTCCCTCTGAAACTCACATCCTTGTTGACTTCAGTACCTGATTAGACTCTATAAATTATTATTATTTTTTGCCAGTATAAGCTCAGGATTTGGTTTATTAGGTTGAAGTGAAGGTTCCTTCTCAATAAAAGCACAGCATTTGCAGGCTACTCTGAAACTGCACGGAACAATTATGTTCATAATGTTGCACAACATGTCCTTTTAAGAAGTTTGAAAAAGCCAGGCAGTGGTGGCACATGCCCTTAATCCCAGCACTTCGGAGGCAGAGGCAGGCAGATTTCTGAGTTCGAGGCCAGCCTGGTCTACAGAATAAGTTCCAGAACAGTGAGTTCCAGGGCTATACAGAGAAACCCTGTCTCAAAAAACAAAAAAACAAAAAACAAAAAAAAACAAAAAAAAAACAAAAACAAAAAGAAGTTTGAAAAGGTTTTTAAACTGTTGGACATGAACTGAGCATGTCAGCATAGAAAACTGGCAGTGGTGAGCTGTTGGGACACTTTAGGGCTCCATCTCTACAGCGTTGATGCCCGTTCATATAGAACATGCTATCTGTGTTTCACTGCTACTTGTCATTCCTGCATGCTTAAGTTCAACCCTTAGGTGATGTACAGTAGCCAACCTACATTTCTCATCTTTATGGTGTGGACTGCCTGACATAACTTTCAGAATTATTTTATAAATATCTCCCTTGCAGATTGTCTCTGGTTATATTTTCATTGTAATTTCTAGTAGCAGTAAAGTCTCTGGTCTATAGTGTGTGTGGTGTGTGGCCATATGCAATGCATACTGAGTAGGCACATGCTACTTTGCTGTCGGCATGTAATATTCCACAAAGGGAGGCATATTCTTCACTGTATTCCAAAGCATTCTTTGAAAGCATAGAGGAGAGCTTACCTAAAATAGAGAAAATCCAGCAAAAAGATTTTTAAAAAGAGGATTTTTTTTAACAATCAGAAGGAATATTCCACTTGAAATAAGAGTATATTAACATATTTATTCATTAAACTCTAAGATGGGTCTAGTGGGTCTATAAGAAAAATAAAGGAGAGAATAAGCAGACATGTAAGAAAATAGGGAGTGTTAGTTACAAAAAGGGTAAGGAGTCAGGGACGGTCTGTGGAGGATAGACGGCTGCCATCGTTGTGTTTGAAGAGGAATGTGTATGTGTCCACACATGTGTGGAAGTGTACCCTCCTACGTGAGCATGTGAGGAGGGCAGAGATATTTCTCCATTGTTTTTAGGGTTTTATTTGTTTTGATTTTTGTTTGTTTTGCTTTGTTTTTGAGAGAGAGTCTAATACTAATTTAGAGCTTGTCACTTGGGCTATATTGGCTGGCCAGGGAACCAAGGGAATCCACCTGTCTTTGCCCTCAAGTCACAGGCAACACCACCATGCCCAGCATTTACTAGGTGAACACGTGTGCATTACACATATGCACTCACACACACATGTGTGCATACATATATACACGCACAGACACAAACACACCCCTATATCTGCTTGTGTACTAATACACATACACTCTACACACAAAAAACATTTTTAAGACGCTGGTTGTGTTTCCCTACCCAGAAAACTAATTTAATTGCTCTTGTCTGTAGTCTGTCAGAACTTTTGAAGCTCCAAGTTACTCTGATTTGTAACCGAGGTTGAGTCTCACTGAAGAAGGAGATAAGAACCTTCTCATTGCCAGGGAGAGACTTCAGTGGCTTCTGGAATTGCTTTGAATTTATTTAAGAACATCTGGCTCAACTGAGAGACTACTTCACAGTTGTTAGAATAACTACAGCCAAAACAGAGCAAAATAAACAAAACTAAGTGTTAGCATAAATGTAAGGGACTTGAAATCTATGTGTATCTCTAATGGGATTATAGAAGGCTCAGTGTATTCTCAGAATGACCACATGAACCCAGAAATTCAGTTGTAAATACATATTCCAAAGAACTGAGAGCAGGAATACAAACAGAGTGTTTTATACCAACATTCTTAACAGCATTGGTGGTAAAAGCCTGTAGACATAATCTAGTGGCTTATATCCATGAACAGACAGTAAATTAATCAGAATGTAATAGATATGTAAACACATACATGTATTGGAATATTGTGCTTCCATAAAAGGCATGAAGGAGTGACACATGCTTCAATATTGAAATACATTAAAGATATGCTGGGTGAAATGCACCAGAAATAAAAGAGCAAATACGTGAGTCTTCTTCTATTAAAATCACAAGAGTATACAAATTCACAAGAAAAGAACGTAAATTGATAACTCCTCAGGCCTGGGGGGTGCCGAGTAGTGGGAATTATTACTTAATAGGTAAGAGTTACCCTTTGGGTTGCTGGAAAGTTTCTGGAACTAGTACTGATGATAATAGCTCCACACCATTGTGGATATACTTCTTATTGCAGAAATGTTTGATTATAGTCATAATTGTCTGTTTGTGTTTTATTATAATACAAAAAGAATATATGGATAAATATACATCATGGTGCTAACGCATAAGACTTCTGTGTTAGTGGCCAGTTGGGCTGGGTATTTTAGGCTACTTTCTTATCAACAATGGATGATAGGAATCTATCGTTAGCAGGTGGATTCTCTACATAGCTCATGTTCTCCATTAGAAGCACTTTCCCTTGGCTGATTTCCTTCTTTTAGGAAGAGGAAACATGTTCAGAGTGTTTGTGATGGACACCTCTGGCTGCAAAGAATATGTGTTTAAAGAACATGGGGCACAGGTTCAATGTCATGGTTCATTTGTGGCTCACCAATTAGGAGCTGGAAGAGGGTAAACTTTAAACTGTAAGTGATAAGCTCAATTTAACCATAGAGAGAACTTTTATAATTAGGCAGAAATAAGTATAAATTTCAGTAACAATGAGTGAAATAAATTAGAAGCTACTCTTTCAAAAGCTAGGTTAGATCCTTGGTTGCCTCTGACATCCTCTGGGAACATGGTCAAGAGCAATTAGACAGTTTGCACCATAGAGGTGTCATCTATGCTAAACGGGTTCTTCGACAGCTTTTCCTATGAGAAATTCTTCTTTCATTTCTTTTTCAATGATCTTTTGACCCATTAACAAAGAAACTCTATAAACTTGCTGGACAGATTTAACACTTTCTCTGTTCTTAGTAAAAGAAAACGCAAAGACTAAACCTGAGTTCTCTCTACAGGTTGGTTTAAATAAGATCAAATGTCAAAGGACAACATTAATACAAATAATTGTCACAAGTAGCAGAAGCCTGGGCAGGCACAAGCATAAGGTATGGCTTATGCTACAGATGGTGTTTGCTTCCACATTGGCTCTATTAATAACACACCACTTTTTTTTAATAACACTTTAAACCATTCACTTATTTCCTCTAAGCCTCAAAAGTTAGATCAAACGTCTTAACATCCACCATATACACAGTGAGGGGCAACTACATGCTAAGTGCTGTGCTGGACATTGACAAAGTCCTTGTCCCCAAGGAGTTCACACCATGGCAGAAACAGAGAAGACAGAAGGGGACATTCACAGAACAAAGGCAGATGTGCTCAGTACTTCAAAATTGTTCTCTCACTTTGATGTTTGTAACTCACTGAGTTTCCTTTCTCAAATATGGATTCTGTTTTTAATAAGTCTCAGGTGAAGCACCGGCTTTTGGCTTTTTAACCTCATGAGACACGGATGCTCTGCTCACACTCTCTTCTATCTTGTGGAGGGAGGAGGAAGGTGCATGTGGGTGTGCATGCACACAGAAGCTGGAGGTTGACCTCAGATTATCTCCTCAATCACCTCTCCATGTTGTGTTCTGAAATAGGTTCTCTTGATAACCCTGAAGCTTACCAGTTCAGTTATTATAGCGTGCTACAAAGCCCAAGTATCCTCCTGTATCTTCTTCACCCATGCTAAAATTACAGGTGCATACAACTACGCCTGGCATTTTAATGCACACATCGGGGAGTGGATTTAGATCCTTGTGAGTCATCTCTCCAGACTTCTGAATTACAAAACTCTAAAGGGCATAAACACGAAGGTGTAGTATAGAGTGATTAAATGAGAGGAAAATCTTAGGTAGTCCAAGAACTCTACAGATGACATTCAAGTGACCTTTGCAGAGTACTCAGACATAGAGGAAATAGAGGGGTGAGACTTATGTCCAAATGCCTTGAGACAGGAAAACATTTTAGGTTCTCTCTCAGAGAGGCAAGCACCTGAGCCAAGCACACAAAAGTACCAAGGAGTAGACTCCGAGGGCCAGTTTTCCCAAGTGAGAAGTTAATGTCCTACTGGAAGATACAGAGCTGTAGGAGCAGAATAATGTCTTTGGGAATGAACATGAGAACAAATCAGAAGAGCTATCAGGTAAG